GATTGGGTTATTTGTTATCTTATTGTCTAATTTTTTGAGTTCTTTGTATATTCTGGTTATTAGGGCTCTATCTGAAGTGTGTGTCACTTATATTCTTGATAATTGCCATTCTGACTGGAGTGAGATAGAATCTCAGTGTGATTTTAGTTTGCATTTCTCTAATTGCTAGAGATGTTGGACATTTTTTCATATATTTGTTGACTGTATTTCTTCTTCTGTGAAGTGCCTGGTCAGTTCMTTTGCTCATTTATTGATTGAGCTATTTTGTTTTGTTTTGTTTTTTAGTGTTAAGTTTTTTGTTATTTATATATTCTGGAGATTAATGTTCTATCTGAGATGCAGGTGGCAAAGATTTTCTCCCATTCTGTAGGCTCTCACTTCACATTCTTAATTGTTTCTTTTGCTGTGAAGAAGCTTTTTAGTTTGATACCATCCCATTTATTAATCTCAATTTTACTTCTTGTGCTTTAGAAGTCTTGTTAAGGAAGTCATTTCCTAAGCTGACATGATGGAGAGTTGGGCCTATGTTTTCTTCTTGTAGGCACAGGGTCTCTGGTCTAATGCCTAGGTCTTTGACCCACTTTGAGTTGAGTTTTGTGGAGGAGGAGAGATAGGGGTTCAATTTCATTGTGCTTCATATGGATTTCCATTTTTCCCAGCACCATTTGTTGAAGAGCCTTTCTTTTATCCAATGTATATTTGTGTTGGCTCTGTTTTTCTTGGTATTGGCTCCATTCTTAGCCAAACTTTGCCTACATGTTAGTGGCAAATCTGCCAATAACCTTAGTTTTCCCTTCTAAGCATTCCCAGGAGAGACAGAATGTCCCACCACCAAAACCCTCCAGGGTTTGGGGGACATCCTAATTAGACCAATTTGAGTTGTGTACTACAAACCAGGAATAGTCTGATTGACCAGATCTGACTTTTCACTTCTGTGGATGCTTGGGAAGAAACTGGCTTTGGCTAGGTCACACAGATTGGATGTGCAGGGGCCAAACATATCAAAAAGAAAAAGAAGAAGAGAGAAGGGATGCAGGGAAGGCAAAAACAACATATAGCCAGGATATGGAGGTCTTCTAGTTACTGACTCTGCAACCTAGGACAAGATGTCTAAGACTACATCTCCGCACTCAGCTTCTTCAACTGAAAAGCTATGATAAGGATGATGATGGCACTAACTTCCCAGGGTTGGTTCCAGAAGGAAATAAAGCAATAGAAATGGAAAATGCCACAATGCCAAGCATAGAATTATCACCCAATAATTTTGGCCAAAGCTTATAGACTGGTCTTACCTGTTAGATCAAAGACCATTGGAGCCGGAGGGAACTTTAAAGATCATCTCTTTACCTACGCTCTCCCTTGCTCACCATTTTCTAGATTCTGAGGAAACAACAAATATGAGTTGAAACAGCTTGCTCTAAATCACACTGTTAATAAGTAGCTGATCTGAGACTCTGACCTAAGATTTTGCATGCCAGTCCTACTGTCCTGCCATCTTGGTTTTCAAGTAATGCTTTCCTTCTACAGCCTGCTTCTTTTCTGCATGAATCTTTCTTCCTCAGTTAAAAGTAAAAGCAGTCTCCAGTATCTAGTAAGGTCTTACTGAGTGCCAGACACCTTGCTGTTTTCCATACATAACCTTATTCCATCTTCACCACAGTCCCATGAGGTGGTATTATTATTATTATCCTTTTTGTGCAGTTGGGGAAGCTGAGGACAAATTTTCCTAGTAAGTGGTGGAGCAGGGAATTCTTCCTGGGTAGTCTGACTTCAGAGCCAATGTTCTTGAACCTCAAGACCTATGCTGCCTCTAGTAGGTTCAAATTCATGTTCTTAAGGTAAGGGACCTAAGTTGGAAATGCAATCTGTAATGTCTTTTGGTATATATTATATGTACCATTGGCACTAATAAATTTCTAGCAAGCAGTTGAGTATATGCTTTGAAAAAGTATAAGATGCATAAAGTTCTGAGATTTCACATGAAGAGCATAGCCCTGACTTTCTCCATTAGAAAGTATATTGTTTCTGCTTTATAGATGTGAAAACATAATTAACTTCATATTTTGACAGACTTTCCAGAGGTTTGAGATTCAATTCCAYGTAATTCAGAATATAGGCCCAGGAGTGTGTGGGTGTCAGTGAAAGGGGGTTATCTGTGCAGGAGAGGAGGATGGGAATGTGGGAAGTGCAAAGCACTGGATCCCAGCTGGTGAACTTTGCATCACCAACTCACAGATTAATAAGCCTGTGGAAGAGCACTGGAATCCTGTGGGAAATCAGTTCTCAGTAGTAATTTTTCATCATTCTATTTAGTTTCCCATTAGCTTAGTACCCCACAGAAAGATATTGTGGCAGTGGTTCATGACCTCAATGCAACTGTGTTTGTAAGTTTTAAAGATATCATCATATTTGTATTGTTAAAATAACTCTAACCATCATGATTATAGACAGGTGAGCAGAAGATTCAGATATTTTGTATTTCATTAAGATTGTTGTCACTGTCACAAAGCCAGGATTAAGATTCATGAATAACTTACTTCCTGCCCAGAATACAATAGTCCTTGTATACCATTTTTTAAAAATAATTATCGGTCACATGTTTTACATCTAATATTGGTGAGGTTTCAAAGTTTTTCAGTTCCAGCTTGTTCAGGTTTCTTAATTTCTAAAAAGGCCATTTGGGAAATATTTTTTGAGCACTTGATATAAAACAATTCTTTGGTTACTACAGTCATGATAATATCCCTGCTGCCCAAATACATCTCCATGTGCCACTTGACAATGTGGTGGGACTTTGTTAGATTTGCTAGCCACAGAGAACTGTATTGATATCCAGCTGAGAAACTGAGACTTCTTCTTCTCTGTCCATAGGATATGCACTGCAAGCAAAACAACACGCAGAAAAAGCCAAAGAAATCCTCACCGACTCCATTGTGCCTCCCTTTACTGACAATTCAGATGTTTTCAAGTGTTCCATAGAACTGTTCTATACCCTGGGGAAAGCCCTACTCTCCCTTCAAAAGTATCCTTTTGTCTCTGATMTTTACACATAGAAATACTGCTCATATAATACTTATATATAATTCTCAAGGTCAAATAAAAAGCTAACAGATGACTYGGGAAGGGTAAGAGCCAAGAAAGTTCCAAGACTTGGGGTCACAGAATCTAAAACCAAGAGGAAACTTTCCTAAACACAGTTCAGATTTAAAGAAGCTACAGAGAATTTGAGAAAAGCAGAGAGACTTTCCAAGGAGCTGCTACAATGTGGAAGGATTGTACAGGAAGAGTGGATAGAAATCCAAGCAAGGATCAAATTGTCATTTGCACAGTGAGTTTCAAGTTTAAGACTTTGTATGCATGGCTGCTAAAGGTTCTTTTCCAGTAGAATCTGTCTTCAGATAGAAAGAGCTTCTTCATGGGGCTTTGTTGATGGTTTCTCCCAAAGCCATTGTCCAGATGTAGAAGAGGAGCACAGTCATGTCAGAGCAGCCCCTACCAAGACATACATTTGGGACACTTCACTTGGTGTCAAGTGCTCTCATATTCACCCAGGGTCCTACAGTCCTGATCATCATCCCCTTGACTTTCGTCCTGCTCCCCATCTCCATCTGCTGCCCTGTTTCCCTTTCTCATTTTCTTCGCTCTTTCTTGATATCTTCAATAGATTGATTTTTGTGATGAGGACCTCTGAGGAGAAAGACCTTTAAACATTTCCAATTTATGATGTTGAAAGTATTGTTCTTTGTTCCTCATCCCACACCACACTCAGCAAATAACCTAAACTGGAAGTGTTGTAAAGAGAAAGTGATGGGCCCTTGGTTTTGTGCCCAAGCTTAACCCCAACCCCATGTTGATTCCCCATAGTGTGGGATGGTAGAGTATCCATGCTCTTCAGAAGGTTGGATAAGTGGGGAAAGAGGGTGGAGAAAGGTCTACTCTAGAAGAGGCAAAGAATCCCAGTTGACCTACATCACCACCCTTAGCCAAAGCTGGAAGAATTCAGTTTACATTCACAACCAGAGAACTCAGAGAACCAGTGGGATCATTTTAAGAGAGGTAATAGCAAAGGACCCCAGGAGAACACATGTAATGCTACCATATGAATAGAAACTGAGAAGGACCAACTCAGACTCAAGCTTTTAAAGGTATTATCTTTTGTGATTACAATTCCACCTTCTTATTTTGTTTTGTTTGGCGTTTTTTCCGGACTGCTAGGCCAACATTAGTCTGTCAATGCAAGCCCTTTGGTATGCTTTTGTAAATTAAATTTTTCCCTTAAGCTCAGATTTTCACCCTCATTCTCTCCCCTCTCACAGCACAGATATCTATATTAATGATGATCTGTCTTCTAATAAGGATCTCCAAAAAATAAATAGTATTGTTTTATGTATTAGTATTATTTATGTATTTATGTGTTTTAAGTTTTGCAAAATTTTTAAAAAATTTTTTGTAGTTGTAAATGGACAGAATGCTTTTATTTTATTTGTTTATTTTTATGTGGTGCTGAGGATTGAACCAAGTGCCTCACACATGCTAGGCAAGTGCTCTGCTGCTGAGCTGCAGCCACAATACATATTTTATTCTGTTTCTTAACTTTTTAATTGTCACCTGTACTTTAGTTCCTGTGCCTTTGCCACATTTTGCTTTTCCATCCTCCTAGCAACAGACCCTCAGCTTGTCCCCACACAGTAGTACTGTCACCAATATTTATATGCATCTTCACTTATGTAAGTGAGATTCTTTCTGAGGTTTATTTCTCAGGATTACTGGGTCAGGGGAGAAATGTTCTTTAAGTTCTGTAAGCACTGGCCAATTGCTATTTCCATCTCCATTCCTGTTTGCAGGACAGATGGATTCCTTTTTTCTCCCCTCCCCAACAATGTTTGTCCTTGTTGATCTTTCTAGTTGTTGCCAACCTGATGCATGTAACATGTTATCTAATTATTTTTTAAGTCTATTTACATTTTTTTTATTAAAGTGTTCAATTACCTCCTCATATGCTTCTTAGCTATTTCAGATTCCTCACCTGTGAATAGCCTATTAGTATTCTTTCTTATTTTTCTTTTGGGATTCCATATGCTTTTCCTTTTGACAATCAAAACTTTCTTGTATGTTATGAATATTAATATATTGCTTCTATTTTCTTACATCTATAGCCCATTTATTAATTTTATCTGCAGTGTTCTTCATGGAATAGAAATTTTTCATTTCACTAGAGTCAAATTCAAATTTCATTTTTACATTTTAATTTATGTGTTAGGAGCTTGTTTAGAAAGTGTTTCCCACACTAATATCAAAGATATTATCTGAATTTTCCCTATAAGACCTGCTTTAGCTCTACCTCATATACTTTAACATGCAACATTTATCACTGTCTTCATGTTCTTAGTATTTTATAACTTAGTTTAGAAATTACTCCTTAGTCCAAAGGTTATTCAATGATGTATATTTTAATATGCAGATATATGTTATCTTTCAAGGTATTCTGATGCACTGATTTCTAATTTTATTGCCTGATGCACAGAAACATTTTCATGTTATTGATCTTTTGAAATTATTGAATATTCCTTTGTGAACTAGACTATGGTTGACTTTTGTGAATGTTCCAAATGTGGTTCAAGAGAAATTTTAGTCTTTATTATGGTTAATGTTCTAATACATCTGAATTAGGTTGACCTTATTAATTCTATTATTCAAATTTGCATTTTATTTTTGCCAATTTAATATATGAGTTTTTAAGATGAGTATGTTTAAATATTCTAGGGCAATTAGTGGTCTATCCACATCTCCAGGTTCTGGTACTTGTTATATATACTATGGGGCTGTTTTGTGGAGGGGAGGAGAATTCAACAGCAAYATATCCTTTTAATCTATTACTCTGTTGAATCAGTCTTTTTGTCCCCATCTCTGTATCTTGCCTGATATCATACCATAGCTCTCTTGGTGCAAATTTTCCCAAAATACCTTTCCCCATCTTTTAAAATCTTTATTTGTGTTTAAGTTTCCTTTCATCCTATCAATTTTCCTATTCCTTTCTTGCTTTCTTTTAGTCCAATATTTTTATCATTCCATTTTCTTACCCACTGACTCGTAAGTTATGCCTTGTTTTATTTTCTAATGATTTTTATTGAGTTTATCATTTATTTTCCTGACTTATTATAATCCAATGGTAAATTAGTCAATTAACTGTTTCCTGGACAATACAAGGACATGCGACCACATTAATACTCTTTCCCTGTTTAGGCTCATGTTGTCCGGTATTTAAGTCACCATATATTTAACACCAGAGGTAAGCACTAAGAAGAAAAGGATATTTGTAGTAAATACAGATGAAAAAATTTTCATGTATGGAATCTGTGAAGAACCCCAGATATGATTAAAATGAAGACAAACAACTGAATAGAAAAATTGAATGATAGATTTTTCACAGAATAGGATAGCCACCTTACTAGTATAGTAAACATGTTCAGGGAAATGAAAACTAAAGTCATAAGTTACTACTCCAGTCCCAGTAGAGTGGCTAAAACTTTGTAGGAAACTGATAATATCCAGTGTTGGCAAAGATGTGGTACTCAGAGATGCTCTCTCACATGCTGCTATTTGGAATATATTTGAAATAACTGCTTTAGAAAACCAATTGGCATTTTATATTCAAATTTGAACATTTGAATATCCTTTGACCCAACAATATCACTCCTAAATATAAAAATGCATGCCTTTATCCACTAAGTGGCACAGCCAAGTATGTTAAAAACTGCATTATTTGAATTGGCAATAGCCCAAATGTTCATCAAAAGTAGAATAGTCAAATTGTGATCTGTTCATACAGATTGTCAGACTTCTAGCTTAACATCATGGATGACTCTTGCAACATAATTAGTAAAACAAACAAACAAACAAACAAACATACTGTAGGATTCCTTTTATAAGAGGAAAAAGAGGGTTATGGATGCTTGAGAGGAATTAACCCAGACCCACCCAAAATCTCTTCCTGCGCAGAATTAGACACTATTCTATATTGTTAGGCAGAAAATAGACAAATCGTAGGTCCAAGATCTGATATGTGTTGCATCTGCTGAGACCCAACTAATGTATCWGTACTTAGGGTTGAACCCTGTTGCTACAAAACAGAGTAAACTATCCTCTGCCACCAGAATCTGGCACTTTCTCAGGAGTGCTTTCCAAACCAGCAATACCAAGCCTTGCCAGCAGATGGCAGGCTGTGTATACATCTATGCTGAATAAATAAAAAGATTTTTAAGTTCACATTCCAAGCTGTTCTACAAAGTTACTTTCGTGTTTAGCAGAGTTGTTTTAAATTTTGTCATTTCTTTTCATTCGGATTCTTTACTGTGAMATCTTTCCTGGAACACATATGTCTCAACCACATGATTATCATTCAATTACTTTGCTTTGTTTGCTTGTTGAAATGTAAATATTTGGCCTAAACTGATGTGCTTTAGGAAAAAAATAAGGCTTCGTTTTTGTACATTTCTGTAGTTACCCTTGAACTACAAGGGCCTTTTGTTTTGGCAGGTCTTGGAAGTAGAAGGTCAGGATAATTTCTCAGGCAGCTCTTGTAGAATTTATGTCCCTCTTAAAAGGATATCTTTTAGTGTGTCCTCTTCCTCCATCTGCCTCTCCTTTTATGGTGCCCATTAGGCCTGGCCAGTGCTTTTCTCCTTGGTCTGACAGATAAGTGCTTCAGGGTGACTCATGTTTCATRCCATCCATCCCTGATTCAGCCTGAAGCTTCTTCCCTCTATGTCTCCTCCTCTGCCCCAAACTTACTGCATTCAGTAATAGTTTTTGGAGAATGAATCCCAATCATGTGTACCTGTGTAATATTTCTTTAAATCTGCTAAATTTAGAAAGYAACCAGTGAAAAACAGGAAAGCTTCCCCCACAGAGTTCAGAATTGTGTTCTGTTTTGGTGACCAAAAGATCATGGTCTTTATGTATACAAGCCTACACCAATGCACCTGTATACCCACTCACCTTTAAAAATTACTTTTCTGTGTGGCATGAGGATAATGACCAATTGAGATTGCTGCTCCAGAWCATATGGCCTGATTCCCTGTGACTCCCTGACACTGTCTTTGGAGGCTTCCAAACCTTGCCTAGTGAGCAAATGGCCTGGTGTGGCTGAGTTGAACTAGCCCAGGAATAAGCAAACACTTTTCTTTCTTCAGAGTATGAACAGGACACCTGCCAGGTATTTCTAGGCAGTATGACATTGTACAATTAATAACGTGGACTTTGGAGTCAGAATCCCTAGGCTCAAGTCAGTGTTCATTCAGATTATCCTGCAGTAGAAACTTGGGCAAG